GTTACTGGGCCAGTTAGATGATGGGTCACTGTTACTGGGCCAGTTAGATGATGGGTCAGTGTTACTGGGCCAGTTAGATGGTGGGTCACTGTTACTGGACCAGTTAGATGATGGGTCAGTGTTACTGGGACAGTTAGATAATGGGTCAGTGTTACTGGACCAGTTAGATGGTGGTTTTGGCTTCATCGTGTTCTCAGATCTTCTCTGGTTCCTTGTTTTCTGATGACCTTCTGTTTCTCCTCTGCAGAGTCAGCATCTCCTGTTGAAGCTGAAAAGTGTGGCCGGCATCAGAATCTCAGTAGGTGTTCTCTAAATGTTCTGATGGTTTCTAGAACCTGTTGCTGGGCTGAAAGTCTGCAGACTAAACAGTTCTAGATGATCTGATTTTCATAGTAGACTTTCTAGCTTCTGTCACGTTTGAACCTCAAACCTCGATGCCTTTAATGCGGCGTCAGTAATTCCTGCTATGAAGACAATCTGGAAAACATGGATCTATATGGAAGCGGGCGTCACCCAATCAGAGCCCAGCTGTTCTGCTTCTGGCCTCAGAGCCTCTTTAGAGAACCACCAGAATGATGCAGACCCAGGAACCAGGAACCAGGAACCAGGTTCTGGTCCGGGTCAGTCCGGGTCATGGAGGGAGGATGAACCCCCTGCAGAGCCACCAGGACGATGCTGCAGGAGGAGAACAGGTGACTGTGGAGGAGCAGCAGGTCTGCAGCTCGGGTGGAGCAGCCCAGCTTCTCTCTGACGGTGGCAGCATCATGCTGCGGGATGCTATTCTTTATTAGTCTATGGACTGAGCTACAGGGTGAGGCTGGAGGAAGACCTGCTGGACGCTGCAGGAGAAACGTGTGATTCAGGCATGGCCTAGTCAAAGTAAGGTGACCTCAGATCTGATTGGTTCAGCCTGTTTGACGTCTCCGCCTCTTAAAGGCTGCAGAGGTTTGAGGTTCAAACGTGAAGAAACACTGAGAAACAGAACCTGTGGAGGATCCATGGGTCAGCAGAGCGTTCCCAGCGTCCGATCACCGCTCAGCCGACGGATCAGAACCTCCTCATGTTGAAACCCGACCCGTCTGTGTTTGTAGGACGGGCCGGACGGTTCCGACGCAGAGATCACTCTAACTGAGGCTTTGAAAATGGTAAACTGTTGGAATTGTTTGTTTCTGGGCCGTATCTGGGGTTAGCTTGTTCACTAGCATCTGATGCAGCGGCTGACAGGAAGCTAGCGTGCAGTGAACAAACTGCCCCAGTTAACCCAGTTAAACCAGTGTGTTAGGGAGCGGGTCTGGGTGTGATGGACACCCTCCTGTCCTGTGTGGGTGAGTGTGGGTCTCCTGGGTTCCAGGGAACGGTGTGGGACGTTCTTGGCTCTCTAACTCCAGCTGGACAGAAGATTTAAACCAGGCGGCGACATTTAATCTATAATCCAGAATGAGCATTTATCCTCTAAACTGTATATTTCATCAAAGGGTCAGACTGGTCTTATATTCCCATATTAACGCTCATCAAAGCCTTTAGCAGAATAAAGATGCTGCTTAATCTGGGAGCAGAATAAAACAGATCTGTGTGTGATTTCTATAATGAGCCGTAAACAAAGGCGCAGCAGTTCTATGTTTGTCCTTTAGCTTCCGTCCGTTCCTGCTATGAAACCGTCCCAGATTAACCAGCAGCCATCGCTTCTCTGGGTTCCTCTGTCCATCCAGCGATGATGCAGCGATGGTGGAACTTCCTCATGCGTGTCCTTGTTGTTGTGCAGGTGGAGGAGGAGCCAAACTCGGCTGTGGTGCTGTTTAAGTTCTCCCCAGAGCTGGGTTCTGGTAAAGGACGCTTCATTTCAGACCATCACAGTTTAAATGTGTGCTGAAAGCTGATCACTGTGTTGCTCCTCCCCTCAGGATCCAGCGGAGGAGCAGCGGAGGGTCTGTGTGCCGGAGAGAAGGAGGTCCTGGATGCCTTCAACAGATGGGTCAGACAAAAACAAGACTTTTAATGTCAAACAGCATGAAGGTGAAGCGTCTCCCTGACCCACACTAAGCCTGTTGTTTGGATGATTGCAGCTGGGAGAGCAGCTGGCTCAGCTAGCTCCCTCTAGTGGCGTGGATGTGGTGGAGCTGGAAGATGAAGGGACCTGTGTTCGTTTCAGCCCCCTCCTCACCGCTGCAGGTAACATCAACATTAGCATGGCTAACTCAATCATCAGTGCAGCTAAAGGCATGGTTACCCCCCCCATCAGTGTGTCGCAGATATTTTAGATTTCTGCCCAATATAGAAGCGTGGTCTGCGCTGTTATTCCACGCCACAACGCCAGAGGGCCAATCAGGAACTAGCTGTGGGTGTAAATACGGCGGTGAGGAAGTGGGGGAAAGTTTGAGCAACAACGGAGGGACATGAGGGCCAAAAAGAGCGGGGATCCAGGTGGAAAAGGCTCCCAGCGTTCTCACCTCGCTTTGCTAGCTGCTCCATCTTCAGTCGTTTTCCATAATGGCGGTCAGACACACAAAACAAGCGGCAAGCGGATGTAGATCTGACCAATCAGAGGCCTCCTGTCTGCTGCGCTGTCTGTGGTCACCTACAGTTAGGGAGAGGTGCAGCAGAGTGTCTGCGGAGGGGGCGGGGCTTATCAGCAGACCACCTGGTTTCCAAATATAAATCAGCCTTCAGCTTTTTTTTTGTTCCTTCGCTTCCAGACAGTCTCCCCCTAATAAGGGGAGTGGTCATGTGACACAGCAACGATGTTTTCCTCATGGTGGTCTGTGATTAAACCTCAGGATTAAACCTGATTATTAAACAACAGGGTTAAACCTCAGGATTAAACCTGATTATTAAACCTCAGGATTAAACCTGATTATTAAACCTCAGGATTAAACCTGATTATTAAACAACAGGATTAAACCTCAGGATTAAACCTGATTATTAAACCTCAGGATTAAACCTCAGGATTAAACAACAGGGTTAATGCGTGCTCTACCCATGTATGGAGGCCTTAGTCCCTGACGCGGCCGACTCGGATTCGATTCCGACCTGTGGTCCTTTGCCGCATGTCCCTCCCCCTCTCTGTAGCCTTTTCCTGTCAGCCTCCTCTATTGGGATAAACTTCTAAACGCCTCGTTTCTATGTGGTGCTGATTGGATCTTTAACAGTCCGTGATGTCTGAGGGGCGGTGAAGCCATCCCAGATGCTGAAAGCTTCAACATCTTTCATGCTTTTTTCACCAGTGCTTGGAACCAAACTGGAGGAT